TGACACCGGGGCCAGGACACACACACACACACTCACACCAGGGCCAGTTTTCCCAGAAGCCAGTGAACCCACCAGCATGTCTTTGGACTGTTGGAGAAAATCCCTGCACAGGGAGAACATGCAAACTCCACACAGACAGCACCCCAGGAATTTAAGCCAGGGCCACAGCACTACTGACTTCAGATTCCTGCCATATGAACCTTTATAACAGTGTCACGTTTCTGCAGAATGCTGGGATAACTTTAACCCACCCCTGTGGTAGATGCTGTTGCCTCAAGCCACGGTATGGCATATTGCAGAGTTTTAGCAAGTCTTGCAAAAACTAAGAAAGACTAAGTCCACTCAAACCTAAAGTCTAAGCTTCCATCATCACCACTAACACTGTGAAGGTACTCCAGCAATTACACCCAGGTCAGAATGTGCATTTTAACCCCCAATACAAAACCGCAATAATTGACTAATTCACACTTGAAAAAGGGTCAACAGCGAAAAAAAGTTTATTCTTCTTTCTCCTTCTGAGCGTGGAATTAACCTTTACTATTTGCATTATAAGATCCACTTGGTGAGACTATCAGACTGTGTTTTGGTGCCCTCTAATGGTTAGTGTTGGTCATTGCGGTCTCAGACTTGGGCATGGGACAGGCCAAGTCTTAAATAAATAACTAGTAGGGTGGGGATTTGGGCATGAGCATCAACAGCCAAAACCAGTGAAGGGACTGGAACAGTGGCGTCTCCATCTGACGTGCATTTTGTTTGTGTGGTTTCTTTTTTTTTTTGCGATCCAAGCAATGTTTCCCAGACTGCGTCTGTGAAGACGCCTCCAATAACACGTACACCTGCGTCCGGACCCTGGCGAGGGGAGCGAACCTGCAGTACTGCGAGTTCGAGGACAGCGAGGTGAGGCGGCGAGACGTGAATTCAGGCTTCGAGTGAACGCCTCCTTCGGGGTCTCTGTAGACGTCCCAGGGGACCCGTGGTGCGACCAGGGGTTTGAAACAGCAGGGGGGGGGCTTACAGATCTTTCCACAACGTTTGCAATGTTGTGCTCAATTCTAAATGTATTTCGTGGGCGGGACTGCTGAGAAACTGGGACTGCGTCTCCCCCTCCTCTTCCTGCAGCTCTTTGTGGAGGTTTACAACCTGACGGCCGACCCGTTCCAGCTGATCAATATCGCCAAAACCATTGACCAGGAGGTGCTGGAGAAGATGAACCGCAGGACCATAATGCTGCAGACCTGCTCCGGGCTCAGCTGCCGAACTCCTGGCGTGTTCGAGCCGAGGTTGGGTCAGCAGCGTCATTCGCTGTACCTTTCTGTTAGCCTGTGAGATGTGCTTGCTTGTCATTGCTTGTCCTGACAATCGGCTGTATAAAATCTTCACAGGAAAAGTAACAAACCAGAAAAAGAGCATTCAGCCTAATTAGACATCCCTTTGTTAGTAGCGGATTAATTTGCGGAACATATCCAGACATTCCTTGAAAGAAGTTGGGGTTCGGCACCATGGCCAGGCAGCTTGTTCCACGCTCCCACAACTCTTTGTGTAAAGACGTGTTTCCTGTCCTGACTGGATGATCTCATCCAGCTGTATCTTGAAAGACGCCGGGCTTCAATAACATAGCTGGGTAACTTGTTCCACACTCCCGCCGCTCCTTGTGTAAAGGGGGGGGGGGGCATCTGTACTTTTAAATGCTCTTCCAGTTAGTTCCTGCTTGTGTGATTTGTGGTGTTGAAGCCGATAACCTGGCTTCTTTCAAGAACTGTCTGGGTGAGATCCCCCAATGAGCACAAGAAACACTTCTTTACACAAAAGGTGGTGGGGGTGTGAAACAAGCCCCCAGACCACGGACTTGTAGCTGATACCCTGGCTTCTTGTAAGAACCAGCTCAGATCAGTTAGCCACTATCAGACAGGTTCCAGACAGGCCAAATGGTCTCCTGTCTTTTGTAACCTCTCTTCTGTTCTTAGATGTTCTGTCCAGCAGTGAGTAAGGGAGTCGTTTCCTCTCTCTCTCAGGTACAGGTCTGATGCACGGTTCGTGTTGAATAGCAACCATCCCAGGGCAAGAGAGCTGCTGAAGTCATTGAAGTAACGTAGAGACTGGCCTGGAGGACAAACCCCAACCACATATCCTATCTGTCCTCGCAAAGACTTCCTTTTTGGCTGTCTAATACCGCCTCTGCTGCAGAAGACGGGCACAAAGACGATGTGATCAAGTATGTGCAGGACTGATAAGCTGCCTCCAGAAAACTCGGGCCTTAACCCGAAAGCTTTTACAATTCTAATACGGTTATATACAACACTGAAAAAGCACCACCGTTTTAAGTATAAAAAGAATATCTCACCTTCAGCCTTTTGCAGCACTTCTAAAACGTGTGGACTCTTAGCCAGCATTGACGAAATAACTGTGCATATCTCCTGCACGACCCAGCTGAACGTCAAGCATATTAATCAACCACACACTGACATTTTTCACAGTACACTTTCACTTAAGAGTTATTTATAGATCGTCTCGACAAAAGGACACACTAGACTGATAATGCCTGGACTGGCTCACAGTCTCCGTCTGTGGATATGTTTTTGTGAAATTTGTTGCAGCTCTTTTGATAACACTAGTCATTTCCCAACACAGCCTGGTTTTCTTTCCCACTAGTGTCTAGTTGAGTGTTTTCAGGCTGTGATTTCAGGTTCTGTACGGAATCTGTGGGTTGAAACTATTTTTTAAGTGTCCCGGTAGTGGATGTCCTTGAGTTTGGGGTTGAAACCTGTGATCTGCCCTTCTAAGGAGAAAAAGTGCCCTTGTTTTCAAATACTTGCTGCAAAAAGATGGATAAAGTTGCAACGCAGGCACTCCTGAACTTGCTCTGTGTGTATATACGCAGGATTCATACTATGCATTGAGACGAGATCATTGTCTATGTCTGGCGGTTGTTGGCCTATTCCTATAATATATGATGCAACAGGCTATAAGAAACCAGAAAAGGTTTGATTTTTACCAAGTTTGCAATTGAAAAAAGCGACACCCCCCTCCAGCGATACTGCAATCCGATCATAAACAGGAGTGAAAGCTGGTTTCCTCCTTAAAGAGACTGACATGTGACATCTCTGCGTTATCGGAGCAGCAGAAAAAAATCATTTTTTTTCTTCTTCTTAAACATCATGTGCTTGACAGCAAATCTCCTAGGACAAGTAAGATAAGAGGGACAACCTGATGGCGCAGTGGTGGGCACTGCTGCCTCACAGCACTGAGGCCCTGGGTTCAATTCCTGGGGTGCTGTCTGTGTGGAGTTTGCATGTTCTCCCCCCTTATTTATGTGGGTTTCCTCCCACAGTCCAAAGACATGCAGGTAGGTTAATTGGCCCTGGAGTGAGTGTGTGTGTGTGTCCTGTGATGGACTGGTGTCCCATCCAGGGTGTACCCTGCCTTGCGCCCATTGCTTGCTGGGATAGACTCCAGCTCCCCCAAGACCCTAAACTGGATGAAGTGGTTCAAAATTGGGGTGGAGGGTTGGAAGACAAGAGAAAGCTGCAGTTAGGAGGGGGTGTTTTTTGTTTTCTCTCCAAGACACAAATTCAGCCTCCCGCTTAATTTTTCACTGAATTCCATTCCCAAGAAATGCATTCAGTTTTTATATAATATTCAACTAGTTGCTCTAGCTCTCCATCACAGCACTTGCATAGGACGCTGTTGCACTTGATCTCTTTGCACAACTGGTAAATCTCCATACCAGACTTGGTACGGAGAGAGGAAGGATTAGCAAGCGACAGGTCAGACTTCCAATGCTGACCTGATAGAAAAAGCAGTTCTGTGCTTACAAAAGCAGTTTTATTATTCCGGATAGAGTAAAGGACACACAGCTGGTTTTCACTTCATTTCTTGGTCTGATCTTAAAGCCGTTGACCTGGGGAAAGGATATGGAAGGCCGCTGGACAGAGCTCGGCTCCCGTGCTCGCCTTCAGGATTCGAGCACAGGGGCGAGATCTGTTAGACCCTCAGGGATGACTCGCTGTTTCTGTTGCATCGGTCAAAAGTCGATTCATTTCCAACTACAATTGATAATCCGTATTTCTAATACATATCAAAAGCCAAACCCCCCTTCTCCTCTTTTAATGAAATGGAGGCTACATGCTGTAATGCAAAGTCCTGTTCTTTCAATGGACTGAGAAAGTGCAATTTAAGGAGCCTGTTATGCACTGTGAGTACTTTATTTGGAGAAGCACCAGCAGGGTATTTTGTATTTTATTAGGGTTTAGCAACACACTCGTGCCTTTAGTGAAACATTCTGTTGGTGGTTAGGAAACTGCAGAATCCGAGACTCCAGAAAAGATTCCCACACGCTGTTCCTCGGAACTATTGGTTCCCAGGTTACCTAATGCAGGAATTAGCAATTCTGGTCCTACAAGCTCCACACTCACTCCTGCTGTCTTCCATAACTGAATCTTAATAATATGGACCTAAGACTGGGATTCCGCTGAAATGTTTGTCTTGAGCTCTTAAACACCTTGGCGGCGGCCTGTTGACTCTCACGGGTCAGAAGTAAACTAAGATCCCAAAGTTCGGAGCAGGGGGAAAAAAAAAACCTGTAAACTATTCCAATCAAGCAACTTGTTAATTCCCTTAAGGATTTGTTTAAGTAATTAGTCTCAGCTGGAATGAAAACCAGCAGGTCAGCGGACAACAGTTAAAAAAACATGTAGCTTGCCACAACCTCTAGGTCTTGGGTTTAAGTGAAAGAGATTTATTGCAGTCTGCATTCTCAGTCTTGAAATATGCAGCAGGCTTTCACAGAGTGGACGGAGGAGTAGAGCTACAGGCTACGATGAGTATTTAGGATTGTTAGACATTCTAATTCTGATTAATAATGTTATTCATTCAAATAAATGGTGTTCTTGACTGTGGGCTCCACTCCTTATTGGTGCTGAACGCTCGGCGTTATTTTGCGATTCAGCCCGTACAGTTGTGCTCCACTTTCTGAATCATGGTGTTACAAAATGTATCCGATTTCATTCACGATACTTTCCAAGGGTGTGAATGCGGTATATTTGGCGGGATATGGTATCAGTGCCCTGCCTGAGTTCAGGGTGCAGACCGACCTTCCCAGGTGTGCCTGCGTTCGGGCAAGAAAGACGTTTTGAACCCCCGTTCGCCGCACACCTGTCACGTCACGCCTGCCAGTTCGGAAACACCCCTCCCCCCCCCGTTGAGATTCGGCGTGGAGGGCCCGAGCTCGGTGGAGAAAGGGATCGGATCTCTCGGCAGAGGCTGCGTGCCGTTTCCTCCTGCTGTCCGCCCCTCTCTGGAACACGGGAATTTCCAATA